TCCTTGAGTCATCCTGGCATTCGGTGTCGGTGTCTTGCTGCTTATGGAGATGCTGTTAGTTCAGTCAAATGGTATAGAAAATTTATTTTCTATTTGTAATGAGACTACATTTTTTTTGTAAACTTATATTATTTTCATCTCCAGGGCAAGTCGGCTTGGCAGGGAACATCATGATGATTTAGCACAATTTCTACTTGGGATGGGTTATGCTACTGAAGCACTTCATTTACCTGGGATATCTAAGAGGTTTCCCTTTCCCTTTTTGTTTATGATTTCTTCTATGTTTATGGTGCCTAGGGCTGGTGTTTTACAGTTACAACTTTGAAACGAACTAGTCCTTTCATCAAAATTTCTATATTAGGTTGACCCCCTTGTATACAAACACTTGCATATACTTTTTGCTTCCTTTCTATTTGTTTACGTTTGTGCATGGCTACTTTCACATGAGGGTTTAGAAGTCTATCCATTATACGTAAGCATGGCTACTTTCACACGAGGGTTTGGAACTCTTGTGCTCGGAGTTGTAATCGAACTCAATAAGAATTCTGTCCATCTAGCTAGCTTTGTCGTAAGTTGCGGCTGAATGTTGTTATCTTTTGGGAATAACCTTCCACAAATTATATACAGTAATTGGCAGACCCAGAAAAGATTTGAGTTTACTGGTACCATTCAGAGTTGGCCATTTTCTGGTGACATTCATCTTGTCCATATGCATACGGATATACCCTTGTTCTATGATGTGTCCCAAGAATTGAATTTTTGTTTATGAAAGCACGTTTCCCCATTTTATAAACAATCTATGATGTGTCCCAAGAATTGAATCTTTGTTTACAAAAGCACATTTCCCCTTTTTATAAACAATTGGTTCTCTCTAGCTCCAATTGAAGAAGCTCACGATGTTCTTCCACGGTAGAGCTATAAATCATTATGTCAAGATAGATGACCACAAACTTCTCAAGATAGTCTTGGAACACCTAGTTACACAAGTAGGTTTCGATTTATCTCCTGCAATTCGCACTTTATGATACTCATTGTTTATCTAACTTGATAAAATGCTTGGCATGGGTCAACTATTTTGGTATGTCATCTTTAGAGTCTGATCGACTCCCCCACTTGATGACCTATCCACTCTGGCCTCCCTAGTATCATTACTAGTATGACTTATCTTTATTATACGATTAGGATTCAATTTTTTTGGAGATAAGTTATAAATAGTTAAACTTCTAAGTGAAATTAAACACCTAATTGCCGGCAGCTTTCTACAAGCAACTCCTGTTTCGAAAGTCTATTCTACCCACCAGAAGTAGCATCATATTTTTTGTACAACCAAAAGTAACATCCTGAGAAATGAATGTGAAATATATCCATTATTGACTCTGCTGTATGCTTTAGAAAGTAGTGGAAGAAATTCATGGTTGAAGTGCTGTGTTTGTTTTTCCATTGAAGAAAGCATTCTCCTTCAGTCTCTATATTTGCCCTTTTTTCATGTTTATGACAATTAGAGTGCAGCAAGACTCCTTTGTTAGTCTTAGATTGCATTATTATGCACGATTTCTTCAATTACATTGCTAGCCTACATTTACAGGTTAGAGTTTGATTTAGCCATGAAGAGTAATGATTTGAAAAGAGCTCTGCAGTGTCTTCTTACAATGAGTAACTCCAGGGACATTGGACAGGATAATCCGGGTCTTGATTTGAATGATATACTTAATGTAACTGCTAAGAAGGAAAATCTGGTCGAGGCTGTTCAAGGAATAGTAAAATTTGCAAAGGAGTTTTTGGACCTTATTGATGCTGCTGATGCTACTGCCCAGGCTGACATTGCTCGTGAAGCTCTTAAAAGGTTAGCTACTGCTGGTTCAGTGAAAGGGGCTTTACAGGGTCACGAGTTAAGAGGGCTTGCTCTTCGCCTTGCAAATCATGGCGAATTGACACGACTCGGTGTAAGTTGCAATCTTTATATCCTCTTTTCTTAAATCTAATTAGTTTGTGGATTATTCTTATCCCTAGTTTAGAAGTCAAGTGTTGTATAGTTATAGGACTCCTTACAAGAGTGAAGCTCTCGGTGCTGAAGTCTTTTAAAAAGACTCACTTCGTAAAGATTTATGTGAAGTGAAATACTGAGTAAACAAATCTGTTTTCATCAGATTCTACAATTCTATTATGCAAAAGCTCCTTGGCAGTTCTTCAACTTGTCATTGAATGCAACTTTGGTTACATTCTAAAACTTCGAATCTCATGAACGTACTAAATTTTGTTTTTTTTTTTAATTATTTATTACTGAAAGGGACATTTTTGTGTTGCTAGAGTTGGTCATAATATGGTTTAATTCTCGTGTGATGAAAGAAAGTCTGTATGATTGCAGGGTTTAGTAAATAACTTGATCTCCCTTGGATTGGGACGTGAAGCAGCGTTTTCAGCTGCGATTTTGGGAGACAATGCTCTTATGGAGAAGGCTTGGCAGGAAACTGGGATGCTTGCGGAGGCTGTGCTCCACGCACATGTATGTTTTAGTTAATGTAGAGAATTTATTTTTGAGCCAAAGATCTTTTCATGCATTCTGACCAATCTAAAAATTGTTCCAGGCTCATGGGCGACCTACGTTGAAGAACTTGGTTGAGGCTTGGAACAGAGTGTTACAGAAGGAGGTGGAGCACACTCCATCAGAGAAAACAGACGCTACAGCTGCATTTTTGGCTTCTCTTGAGTCGCCCAAACTTACAAGTTTGTCAGAGGCAGGGAAGAAACCACCGATCGAAATCCTTCCTCCGGGAATGTCAGCACTCTCAGCTTCAATTACAATTAAAAAGAAACCTGCTCAGGTGACACAGACTTCACAGCAACCAAGCAAACCATTGGCATTAGAAGCATCTCCTCCAAGTAGACCGATTGAAACACCTATTGGTGCAGCACCTCCCATTTCATCAGCTGCAGTACCAGGCACATCATTAGGAGCACCACCACCCGATGCGCCCGCTGCAATGCCAGGCACCCCGATTGGAGAAGCAGCTCCTGTTGCACCAACTGCAACAGAAGTAGGCGAACCACCCATATCAGAACCAAGTGAACCTTCTCTAGAGGAGAAAGCACCTAATTCATCATCTGGGAGCAATCCAGATACGATTGCTTATGCGGAAACTAATCCAGCAACATCTGCAACTGGCACACCTATGCCAGATATAACCGTGACGGACAAACCGTTGGCAGAGGTGCCTCCTGTGACACCAGAAAACCAGGAAACCAGTGCTTCAGTTACATTGACAAGCCAACCATTTGCTTGAGTTCAATTTTTATAGTGATTCGTTTGAGCTCTAGGGAAATATCAATTTCATTTGTCAAGTAAACTGTTGTGCTTGTGAATTTGATTGGTGTGGATATCTGTACTCCGGAGCAAGGGGGAGGAGGAATACCTTCTAGATGATACTAAAGATTATATTCATTCGCGGTTAGGTTCGGTTTTACGACCATATCTCTTTCAGCCCTGCATTTGAATCAAATGCTAGCAGAAACACCCGGGAGCTGCCCATCTTACTGGCTTTGGTTGTAGGACTAGATTTTTTGGATTGTGTTGTAGAATGAATGTACTATAGGTGAGGTTGAATATTTGATTGAAGCTACCATTCTTGTTCTTTTGAATATATGAAGCTTTTGGAGGGTTTTCTACTATTCCACGATTTGCAAGACCAAGAATGCTCTCATGTTGTCATTGAACTTACTTTCCTACTCCAATTGGTCGTTTTTAAATTATGATGAAAAAAGTACAATGATTTTAATCATTTAATCTGAATTTATTAAGAAATAAATTATTAATAAAAATGTGACACGAGTCATACTTTTGGAGCTAAATAATTGTATGATTACAGTATAATATTTGTTTATAATTTTTTTAACCATTGATAACATACATATGCTGAAGAGATGATTGCTCAAATTTAAGACCTCAAAGAGAGAGAGAACGTATCCTTTAACCACTATGACTACTCAATGAATTTAGAGTTAAATAATCGTTTAGTTACGAAGTGGACTACATATAAAATGTAAAAATCTTTTATAATAAGATTCATGGTATTCAAATTAGTTTCAACCCTTCAAATAATCCATGGTTTAAAATGATTTATTTAAAACTAGGGTTGAAATTAATTTGAATCTCATTGATTTCGTTACAAAATTTTTCATTAGTCTTGGTGCTGAAATATACAATGTCTTTCTGTGTATGAATCATTATTTTCCATTTCGGTTGTATTTTCTAAATTTGTGGTGGAATCGCAGAAGAAAAGAGAGGATTTGAAAACGGAATGGTATTAGGGGAGTTGAGACATTGGTAAACCACGTGTAAAATTGGTTATGGAAAACCCATTTTTAAACACACCACACACATCAATAAAATGTGGAGAGACCAATACAATTTTTTTAGGGTTTCTTGTCTTTTACAAGGTATTCTCTTCTTCTCCTTCTTCTTCTTCAAATGTTTACCAGCAACTTTTCATTTTGATTTAAGAAATAAAAAGGTTGGAAATTTTATTTCTGTGTGTTTTCTTTATTGTTGCTAGTTGAAGGTGATGCCCGTGCTTCACTTTGTTGGTGTAATATACACACATTATACATAAAAATAATGACAAATTTGCTTGGATAAGTCATTAAAAAATGATTTTTTTTTATTTAAGTTGGTGTAAATTTTATTCTTTCAAATAGGATGAATGTTAGAGTGCTAGAGAAGACGCTTGGATTATATCGACTTCTTCAGCGGAAGAGGCATAGAACGCATAATATATTTTCTTTGCTTATTTGGGGACTTTTCATACGTGTTCCCTAAAAAATCCAGGAAAAGATGTTGAGTCCTTCATGCGACTTCCACCGAAGATGTCTATGATTCTAACATATTCCCAAAGCGTTGTAAAAACTACCCTACTAAAATTTGTACCACCCCTTACAAAATCTTACACAAAGTTTCATTTTTTTCATCACCCTACTTGAGCATATCTGCCTACAATATACCATATCTAATCAAAATTTCTTGATTTTTTATAGATGGATCATGAAGATGCTGGTTTGTATACGTTGGATGAAGCCCTTGAAACTCTGGGGTTCGGCAGATTCCAGGTCTTCGTTCTTGCATACGCCGGGTTCGGTTGGTTTGCAGAAGCCATGGAGATCATGATCCTTTCATTCATAGGACAGACAGTTAAATCAGAGTGGCAACTCTCCACAAATCACGAGAGCATGTTGAGTTCCATTGTTTTCGCCGGAATGCTCGTCGGAGCCTATTCGTGGGGCATTTTATCCGATAACTACGGAAGGAGGTTTTTGCCCTATTACTTTTTCCTTTCTGCACCTTTTCATGCAGGAGGGTTCCAGCCTTGTTTAACTGTTGCTTTTGGTTCCATCAGGAAAGGTTTTCTTGCTATAGCAATGGTAACTAGTGCAGCTGGATTATTGAGTGCATTCTCTCCAAACTATTTATCACTTGTTATTCTTCGAGGGTTCGTTGGTTTTGGCCTTGGTGGCTCATCTGTGTTCTTGTCCTGGTTCCTGGAGTTTGTTCCACCTTCTAGCAGAGGCATGTGGATGGTTGTGTTCTCAACTTTCTGGACATTTGGATCCATCTTTGAGGCTACTCTCGCATGGGTATGTTATTTCCTATAACCCCATTTAAGCCTATCTTCCAGGGTTGCTGCAAGAACCCGTTAGGCGAATCGAGCGATAGAAATGAACGTTGTTATCATTAGAGGTCCTGGTTACTTAGTGATAGGATCGAATGTTGTTCTCCTTAAACATCTTGGTTCCAACAAATGTGAGCGGTTAAAAACTTGGGTAAAGTACACATTTAGTACCTAAACTATTAGTTTTGGTCCATTAGTACCTAAAGTTTCAATTTTTTTCAAAATCATACCTAACGTTTAGTTTTCATTTTAGTATCATGCCCTTAAAAACTTAACATGTTAAGTACCTAAACTATCAGTTTTGGTCCGCTTTAGACTTGATGTTAAATTTTGAATGAGGTACTAAAATGAAACAAAAACTAAACTTTAGGTATAATTTTGAAAATTTTAAAAGCTTAGATACTAAATCAGACAAAAACTAATAGTTTAGATACAAATGCATAATTTATCCAAACAGATTTTAAACATTATTATCTTATAATCAACATTGCTGCAATTAGGGACATGTTCGAGCTATAGGTGGGAGAGGTAATGACCCCCAATTTTGATGGTCTAATTACCTTTTAAGCCACTAGTAGTTCTAAAAACCATTGTAATTAAGTCTTTACCCCCTCCTATAATTATTTTCGTATAATTGCTTCTTAGGACACTGTCAGTTTTAAAATTAATGAAACTAAACCTTTACTTCAACTTTGTTTGGGTCAATTACTTTTTAAGACCTTTAAATTTTAAAACTAATGAAATTAAACCCTTAATCTCTTGATTTTTGGTTTAATCACTTTTTAAAACCGTACTTATTTTAAAGTTAAACAACTTATCTCCTGGTAGTTCAATCCTGACTCTCCCTAATTGCAATGAGTACAAATATGAAATGATTTATGTGCTTTTAATAATGCCATTTAAGGCTATATCTTAGGGCTGCTGAATGAACACATTATACAACCTAATTGGTAAAAGGGGTGCAGTTCTTGTCTCGGATTTAAATAGTTGCGTTTGCAGTATATGTTATCGATGATTAAAAAAGATTCTCGTTTTTGCAACGAGTAGAAAAATGGAATGATGTATGTGCTTCTATTGCAGATTGTCATGCCCAGATTGAACTGGAGATGGGTGCTTGCATTTTCAGCAGTGCCTTCTTTCGTTCTTCTTTTTCTGTATGGGGTTGCACCAGAGTCTCCTAGATACCTATGCATGAAAGGCAGGACAGCCGATGCATTTGAAATCCTAGAGAAGATAGCTTCGGTGAACCGAGCAAAGCTTCCTGCTGGTAGCCTTGCTTCTAGTAAGGTTGAAGAGTCTGCTCCATCAGATGAAAGCAGCCCATTGCTCCCCTCACTGAGTACAAGCAGCACACAATCAAAACTAGGGTTATCATCTTTTTTTATGCTTTTCTCACCAAAATTGATTAGAACAACGCTGCTCCTGTGGGTGCTGTTGTTTGGTGATTCGTTTTCGTATTATGGTATCATATTGATTACATCAAAGCTGAGTAGTAGAGAAAGTGGATGTTTCTCGACCATTCAAAGCAGTGGAGATCACCAGGATTATAGCCTCTTTGCCAATGCATTCATCACTAGTGTGGCAGGTATTGCTTCTTATCCACTTCTCCAATGATTTTTAAAAGTGATTCGGGACTAAAAGTGCTCTCGAGACTAAAATTAAAGTTTTTCCAAGTAAAAAGTGCTTTAGTAACGTGACACATGCATGTTATCACTTTAGTAAGGTGATACATGTCACATCATCATTTTAAATGATGTGGTACATATCTAGTAGATGTCATATCATTATTTTGAATGTTATGATATGTGTCACATTATCAATTAAACAAATATAAAAATACTAGTCAGTAACATGGATTAAACTAACGTTTTCATCTAATAGAATTTTATCTGACCAAAAATTAAAACCATAGATAAATACTCCAAAAGAAAGAATAGAAAATAAATGACTATTTGTATAAACATAAGAAGCAATGTTATAATTATGCCTTTAACTTTTTCAAAAGAACTAATTAATAAATTTATTCATTTATCCTCGATTATATAATCAATTCTTTTATATTATCAAAATGGGTGTCAAAAACATATCACTTATCTACTTTTTAATTATAATCCCATACATCCAAGCCAAACAATCATTTCCCAAAAATCTCATTTAAAAATCATTTTCTCATGTACTTTGTAAAAGCATTTTCAAACTTATTCACATTCTTCTTCATGCTCCATGTTGAAACTTAATGTATCTCGGTTCATGCCGCAGAGCTGCCCGGACTCTTTCTGTCAGCAACATTGGTCGATCGAGTCGGCCGGAAGAAGTCCATGACATGTCTGTTCATCTTGGCCTTTCTTTTCCTCCTTCCACTACTAACCCATCAGTCAGCACTTTTAACCACTTGCTTATTATTCGGAGCTCGCATGAACGCCATGGGAACATTCACCGTTGCCTCTATATATGCCCCTGAGGTAACTCCCATTTTATCGTCTGGTTTAATCATCACGTTTGGACACATAAGTTATTCCTTTCACTATAACAAATTCCCATTTTTTCGCAGCTATATCCGACCTCGGTTCGAACAACGGGCGCAGGAGTCGCGAGTGCGGTCGGAAGAATCGGCGGGATGGTATGTCCTCTTGTTGCGGTGGGATTGGTGAATGCGTGCCATCAAACAGCAGCTATTGGTCTGTTTTTGGCTGCTATTGTTGTTTCAGTGATTGTTATTCAACTCTTCCCATATGATACAAAGGGGAGGGAACTTAGTGATACTACTAGTTGATGATTTGTGTCTTCAAGGAAAAACAATGATTTAAGTCATTGTTAACTGAAAATAGTTTGATTTTCACATTTTTTTCTATTGCATAAATGTCAAAGAAAAACATTGATCATGGAAGTTATATTTTTTTTATTTGTAAAATGGTCATATTATTTGCTATTTTCGGTTTGATTTTAATCTGATATAAGTACAAGACAGTATCTGTTCAAAGATAACTCTCGGCCTTTTGACATTGAATACTCACAAATCTAGCATCTATGGTGTTCAAACCCGGGTCCTTAAGGAACGACAACGATTCCTGCAAATGAACTAATCCCTTTCGAAACCTCTTAGCTCGGAACCCCATATATTGCGTCTCCAACTACAGGTAAGAAACAACATCCGAGAGAAGATAAGCCATCTCCAAGACCATTCCTGCAAATGAACTAATCCCTTTCGAAACCTGTTATCGATCCTGATAATTATTCATCTGGTGGCGGCGAAGGCCGACTCCACCTGCTCAGCAGGAACTACATAGCTTTCTATTCCCTTACAGCAAGCAATCACTCCATCTTACAGTAATCCCTTCCTTCTTCTACTTGAAAAAATTCCTCCTGAAGACCCTATTGGTTTGTAATCGATTCTTTATCAACGGGCCACCCCTTCTTTGAACCTTGTCAATGGTCGAACTTAAAGATATGAACTGAGTGGCATTTGATGAGCAACTGAGAACAAAGGAGAGGGATGTAGAAAGGATGAAGTAATGAAAGAAGAAGTCATTGCTAGTAGTAACGACTTGTTACGATCCATTGGTTCATATAATAAAAGTAGATATCAATGTTGATGAAAAATGTTTAGATACTAATCTAAGAAAAGTAGAGGAGTTTAGATATCAATGTTGACAAAAACAATTAAGTACCGATATTAAAAAAGAATAAATTCAATGACTAAAATGTCAGTTATGCCAAAATTATTGACCGTCAATTAGATGAGGGCCAGATATGGTTCAAAGGTTTCATTAGCTATTCCATGTCCAAAGACTCGTATCGATTTTGAGTAATATCCAACCTCTTGTATTGGTTACTACAAATTATTTTATTATTATTATTATTATTCTTATATGACATGACATTTTTATATATTATTAAATATAAAATTAATTTAAAATAAATAATAAAACAACATTTTTTTATTATTAAATTTAAAAATATTTAAAATAATCATCACCCTTCTTGTCACCGTCAATCACCATCAACCTTTGGAACCGATACTCGTTTGATCCCAAATTGTATGGAGGGATTTGCTTTGACACGCTGAGTCCGAATCTGGTGGATATTTCACCGAAAAATATCTCAAAACCCATGAATCTCGATCGAAACATTTTAGTTTCCTCACTTTCGATCTTCTATTCGTGGACTTTGAAGTATGTTCCAACAAAATAGAGGTTATATTCGGACTCAAGGGGTCTAGGCGAAGCGATCGGTGAAATCTGGGACCGAACGACTACCATCTACGGTCGTCGGTGTTTCAGTTTCTTCACTTTTGATCGGATTCAAAGCATTTTTCGATAAAATGGAAGTCGAATTCGGACTCACGGGGTCGAGGCGAAGCGGCCGATGGAATCTAGGACTGAACGGTGTCCATATATGATCGTCGACGGGGGCGTCCAACAACGACGAACAATGGATGGCCACCATCAAAGTTTAATTCTATATTTTAAATTATTTTAATATTAAATAATAGTAAAAATGCTATATCATGCTAAAATAACAATAAAATAATTTAAAGTGACCAAAACATGAGTAATTCAAAATTTCAATTAATAAATTGAAAAAATTAAAAGTATAATAAGTAAAATAAAAGAGAGTAAAATTCAATGATGAATGTTGTAATTTTCCTTAATCATTTTATATTGAGTACCCATCAATTAATCATGTTTAGAGTTAGTTTAGAATAATAGACCAATAAACGTGTATATTTGGACATCACATCACGATGTCGAAATGAAATGTGAATTTGGACATTAATACAAATTGCCAAGTTACAACATGAAAATCATATGAAGCTATGATGTTGAAGGAGGATAATTGATATGGAATTACTTAATTAGGTCACTAAATTTAATGGATTAGGTCACAACATCACCATCTCAATTGCCACCCTTTCATCTCTTAATTGGGGTAAAGTATGAAAAAAAATATTGTCACATCACCACGTCACGTTGAAAGTTGCATATTAATTAAGATTATTTTTTATAATTAATACGGTATAAATGACTGAAATAATGTAAGTGAAATTTTTAATTTTTAATATAATTTACTTCTGGGATTATTTTTTCATTTAGGGTGAATTGAAAAATATCAAACTAAAGACGTCGGGTGCTTCATGCGTCTTCAAACTAAATATGAAGACTTCACAATTACATGTCGTCTTTAGACAAATGAAGAAGACTCCACGATTGTATGGTGTCTTTACGCAAATTGAGAAAATTCCAAAAATACAAGACGTCTTCAAATCAATAAAAATTCTAATTTAAAAATAATATGATAGATATCTTATATTAAAAAAATATTTTTCTCCCAACCTATATGGACAAGGAAGCCATTATTAATACTATGGTTGAAGTGGGAAAACCAAAAAGTGAGATCCATAGAATCATAGAGATTATGCAGATAAACATGCAATGATTGTTGAGTGATTTCCACGTGCATTCAACATGCAGCTCAGAGCAGGTAACAAAACGGTAAAATACACACATAGTTCTCCTATATAAAGTGATGTTTTATTAAATTAATCGACTATTAAAAGTTACGAAATTCTCACTCGATTATTTTTATGTTCTAGATACATCTTTTTTTGTTAAAAAATTTGACAGTTATTCGAGCTGGGCGTTAACATATTAACTGTGATATGATAAAATATGATCCCAGAATCGTTTGAGTTATAGTTCATGAATCGACTCTCCATTTATATTATATCTCAAGTCAATGCTTAAAACATTATTGAATCAGTGCTTGAAAGCAACGATAATGCCAACAGACATCATTAAAATATAATTATATTATATCTCAATCAACATGCTAACGTTCAGTTCAAACGGTCATCAATATTTTAACAAAAAAATGACGAGTTTGGAACATATGAATAGTCAAACGACTATTTTATAAATTTTAATAATCGAGAGACTCAACAAAACAACACCCTATAGTCCAAGAACTATTTTATAACTTTTAATAGTAATAGTCGAGAAATCAACAAAAATATGTCTTAATAAAAATTGAAAGGATAACTCGCATTTTAATCCGAATATATTGTACTTTTTTTTACATTGATGCTTGAATTTGTTTAGTCTAGATTGATATCTCAATTTATCTACATTTTTTCTTCATGTTAGTATCCAAATATTTTTAGTTTATGTTAATATTTTAATTTTTCTATTTTTTCTATATTAGTAGTTTTGGAATAATTTCAATCTATATGAATTTTATATTTTTATTATTTTTACAAATTTCAAAAGTAATTATTTCTATATTGGTACTTGAATTTGTCTATTTTTCTTATATTAGTACCTTTTATAACCATTTTAATTTTTGTCATTTATATTTTTATAAATTTTTAAAAATAATTTTTTACTATTATATATGGATTAGTCTATAACGCACGTCGCACACCGCAACATACCACTAAAGCGACATACTGAAATGTACCACTAACTAAATTATCCTTATTAAATAAAAATTAAAATGATAAATTATACGTTTAGTACTTACATTATCATTTTTATTTTCTTTTAGTACCTAAACTTTATTTTTTTTCAAATCCATTAACGATAATGTGATGTGGCGTGACATGTTACTTTTTTTTTTACTTTTTTAATTTCCACATCATTTTTCTATTTCTCTATCAGTATTTTTTAATTAATTTTATTCAACCAATTAAATAGTGACATGTGTCACAATTTGAGGATAAAATAAAAGAAACCGTAGAACCAGAATTGAACGTAAGCCTCTTACATGAAATGCAAGGTACTCAACCATTGAACTAAACTAATCATTTATATTAATTTTATCGTATTTTTTTTTATTTTTTTGTACAAAAAAAGTTTTGTTCAATGGTGACTCTCTAGTCCAGGGCAAGACATACCTAAGACTCAATTAGGATTTATATATGAATTTACAAATTGTCCACTAAGAGTGACAGTGGTAGGAATTGAACTTGGTCTTACAAGCTCAAATTTCTGAATCCCAACCACACCAACAATTGTTAGCCATATTTTGTATTTAATTTATATAATAATATCACCACAAAATCAATATTTTCCGATGATTATAAAATTCAAATATGTGACACTTTAAATTAATGATCGATAGTTTAGTCATTCAACTATAATGTGAATCTATTGTTGTTATACAAAATTTAATACTTACTTATATCATTATTAAATTAAAGAATAGTTTTTTCACTTTATTTGGAAATAAAAAAATAATTAAATTATTACTTTTATGAATTTATAAAATTTATATTAAATTATTCTAAAAATTTTATTTATAATATTATGAAAATATTTTAAAATCATATTATTTACTTATTTATTTGAAATATTATCATTTTTAAATTATTTATTTAATTTTAAATAATATTATACGAAGCTAAAGTAATAGTTGGATAGTAAACGTATAATTTACCATAAATTTAAATTACTTAAAATTAAAAAGATAATTTAAAAATAATATTATTTTAAATAAATAATTAATTGAATTTTGAAAATAAATATTTTTATAATATTATAAATATACCTTTTCTTATAATTATTTCATATACTTTTTATAAAAATATATGAATTATTTAATTTTTTATTTCTAAATAAAATGAAAAAAAACTTTTAATATAATAATGATATAATTAAGTATCATGTTCAGTATAATAAAATAATTTACACTATAATTGAGTGACTAAGCTTTCGGTAATTAATTTAAAGTGTCACAAATTTGAATATTATAATCATCAAAAAATGTTGATTTTTGTGGTGATATTGTTATATAAGTTAAATTTAAAATGTGGTGAAATTTACCCAAACGACAAGTTTAGCTCAATAGTTGAGTGATTTGTTTCTCTCGTAAGATATTCAATATCAATTCATGGTAGGAGCAAGAATGATTTTTATCTTTTCATCCCATAGGTGGTGACAAATATCACCACATAATTGGTTAAATAAAATTAATTTAAAAATATTGAAAAATAAAAAAAATATGATGTGGTAATTAAAAAAATAAAAAATTGACATGTCATGTCACATAAGTATTACCGTCAATGATTTAAAAAAATAAAGTTTAAATATCAAAATTAAATAAAAATAAAAATTTAGGTCAAAATCTATAATTTATCCTTTTTAATATTTACTTAATAAAGATAATTTAGCTAGCAGTATGTTGTCGATATGTCGTTTCGATAGGTCAAAATGTTACATATTTTTCTTTTAACATGGTTAAAAAAATAGTCGAGTTTAAAAATAATTATTGTAAAAAAAATTAAATACCAATATTGAAAAGGGGATAAATTCAAGGACTTAAAATGTGAGATATCCTAAAATTAGAGATTGACCGTTAATTAGAGGAGGGTCGGCTATAATTCAAATTATTTCATTAGCTATACCTAACGTTTGTTACGGGATGAATCGAGAGGGTCGATGGGATAATTTTCTCCCTAAAATTTTTAAATTCTTTCGTCTTTAGTATAAAGTTTTATGTTTGTCTTTATTTTTTACCAACCTAATTAAAATATTTTCTCAATGCAAAATTCGATCACACCCAGATTTAGAAAGATTTCATCTGATCCGTTTTTGAAATAAAATTTACACCTAATTCTATTCAAACCAACTTATATATATATATATATATATATTATGGATTAAAATCCACTTACACATCGTAAAATTAAAAGTTTTATATCATTTTAGGATCGTTGATGAGATTAACTATTTTTTGTGTGAATATATTCTCATTTCCTACTGTTAATCTCAATATTTGATTTTACTTCGTTCATCAATCCTAAAAAGATGTAAACCTTTTTAGTTTTACAATATGTAATTGGATCATGACCTTTATTTTATTTGATAATACATGAAGAATAACATTGTGATTATCTCTAAATATATAAGGGATAATACATGGAGAATAGCATTGTGATTATCTCTAAATATATAAGAGATAACTATATTATTTTTTAAAATTAAATCAGATCGAATATTTTTACTCTAAACTTAGAACATAACATGATCCAAACGATACTCTAAAACTCCGATCCAAATTTAACTCAAACTTAAATTTTATATAAAATAAATTTAATTTTATAAACTTAAATCAAATCAAAGTCTATCAAATTCAATTTATATAATCATTCTTAGCTATACTATGGGTCCATGGCTGTTAATATCAATATGATCGTTAGAACTCGTCACTCTCACATGATGAGTTCCTCATCAATTTAAAATCTGATCATTGCCTAATAATTATAAATGGTTAGTTTTTTTTTAAAATTAAATGGAAATAGTCATACTAACATAACGAGTTTCCTAGTTTTTTCAAAAATTATTATGATTTTTTTTCTAAATTTTAAAAATAGTTTTTATTGGAATTTATCGTATCGACTTGATGGGTTCTAAAAAATATAATAAAATATTAGATCTAACGTCTAGATCTATTAAAATATTTTTTAATAAAACCCATCATGTCAATATAACGAGTTTCTCTAATACTATATATTTTTAAATAAATTAGGGTCTGTTTATTTGGCTGTAATTAGTTTTCTGAAAATTAAATTCTGGAAAATGAATTACATTTTCTGGAAAACATTTTACGATGTTTGGAAGATGTTGTTTAAACCTTTTTTTCTATTAGTTTATGAGTTTTTTTTTAATTATTTATTACAAATATTAAATACAATAAATAATATTATTTATCATAAAATTTAATATGATTATTTTTAAAATATTAAAACAATTTATTTATTATTAAATATTATTTTTATAATTTCATTAATAAAAATACTAATATTGATATATTTTATTAAATAAAAATATTATAAATTATATTAATTATTTATTAAAGTAATAGTGTTATATTATATTTTAAAAATATTAATTAGTATATTTTAAATATCTTTATTAAAATATTATTAGACTATTATAATAATATTAAACATATAAATAATATTATTCATTATTAATAATTTAATAATATTATTTCTATGAAATTAATAAATAATATAAATTTTATTTATAATTTATTATATATTATTAAAATAAAAATATAATATCTTATATTATTATAATAGAATTGATTATTTTATTATAATATTAAAAAATAATATTATATTATTAGAAATATTAATAAATATATTTTAAATATTTTAATAATTAATATTTTGATTAAAATAATATTAAAATATTTTATTAATATTAAATTCATAAAATAAAATTATTTTGAGTATTTATTTTTTAAAGTGAAAAGTTCGAAAAATGACTTACTGAAAATCAGACAGGAAGTCATTTTTCAAAAAAATAAAAAGAAATTTCTGTTAATTAGAAAAATATTATAAAATATTTTTACTCCAATCAAATATTGATAAACATTTTTCAAAAAAATATTACGTAAAATAAACACAGAATTTCAAAAAAAAATCATTTTCGTAATTGATTTTCCCCAAAAACAAATAGAACCTTTATTTTATGTTGTATTGGATTAAATAAAAAAATCGATGTATTGGGCTAATTTTGCCGAGTAAACTAACCGCCGATCGTCAACAAACAAACAACTTGTAGTTTGTAAATTCCATTCCTCAACTTCTGACTCTCTCAGTCCTCAACTCCACAGACCACATCAAATCCCTGTCTGACCACAGCAGTGTGGTCGTGTAGTAGGCGTAGCTACCCCCGGCCCCACCGCTTCTCTTTTGTGTTATGGTTATCGTGTTGTCTGGACGTTTCTCACGTCACCTGTTTTTTTTTTATCTTTAGCATTTGCTTTGCGTCTCTTTTGTTTTCTTTTTCCCTCCCACTTTCCTTCCTTGTATTGCTTTCCTTTATTCTCTCTCCGTCTACGTCTACGTCTCCGTCTCCGTCTCCGTTTGTTCTTCAACCTTCTCTCACGCCACCTTCATTTTCCTTTCTTTCTTCCTGTTTGCTGAATTCTGGGTTTCTGAAGTTCAAGCTCGTTGTTTTTCTCTGCTGATTATAGTGTCGGAGAACAAAAGAAGTGTAAAGTAGATTAGGAAGAACATGGGGTGGATTACAGTTAATATCGGACTTGCGTGTTTGTTTAGTATGTTGTGTTGTGGGAAAGGGATTGGTGTGAACTGGGGAACACAGGCATCCCACCCGCTGCCGCCGGAGACCGTAGTGAGGATGCTGAGAGAGAATGGGGTTCAAAAAGTGAAGCTTTTTGATGCGGATTACGCTATACTCAAGGCTCTGGGTAAGACTGGGATTGAGGTTATGGTGGGAATCCCAAATGACATGCTTGCTTCTGTTGGTGGCAGCATGAAGGCTGCTGAGAAATGGGTTTCCAAGAATGTTTCCGAGCATATCTCCTCCAATAATGTCAACATCAGGTCAGCCGATTGTTTTTCCGATCTGTTTTCGATTCCGATATGCTACTCGAGTCGAATTTTGGTGGTCTTCTTCCATTTGATGTTATATTTGGATGCATTCATCTTTTTGTCGTACGCGCCTTGCTGCATATGTGCCCGTAACATTCATATTTGTGGTCTGATTCGTAAGTAAAACATCCTTAAAAGGCTTGTTCCTCTCTGAAATGGCCAATCACCTCTAGGCATGACTTGTTAGTGAAGACATGTTTAATATGTAATTTCAGTTCTGGTTGTTGTTTATTTGGATGCATTGATCTTTTTTATCTTAGCACTTTGCCGCAATCACTCTGCATATGTGACTGTAACCTTCATATTTGCTTGTCGACTTTCCGGTCTTAAAACTCTTTAGCCTTATTGTATACGTCGTAAATTGACTGGAAAATTTGGTCTGGATCTTGCAAGTATAACAATTGTTCCCTTTGCTTGGTTCCATTCTCTAATTTTCATTGCATTCTTTACAGATATGTTGCTGTTGGTAATGAACCTTTCTTGCAGACATATAATGGAAGCTATCTTAAGATAACCCTCCCTGCTCTTAATAATATCCAGTCTGCCCTGATCAAAGCCGGGATTGGCAGCCAAGTAAAGGTTACGGTTCCTCTCAATGCCGATGTTTATGCGAGTTCGAATAGTTATCCATCTGGGGGCGACTTCCGTACCGATATCTTTGACCCCATGCTTAGTATTGTCAAGTTCTTGAATGACGTTAACTCTCCCTTCACAGTGAACATCTATCCTTTTATAAGCCTCTATACTGATCCCAATTTCCCAGTTGAGTATGCATTCTTTGATGGCAATGCATCACCGGTAAACGACGGTGGGACGTTATATTACAACATGTTCGATGCTAATCTCGACACCCTTACACATGCATTACAGAAGAATGGATTTGGAAATTTGCCCATTATAGTTGGGGAGATTGGGTGGCCTACTGATGGTGACCGGAACGCTAACATAGAGTATGCTCGACGCTTCAACCAAGGTTTAATGACTCATATTTCTGGTGGGAAAGGAACCCCGTTGAGACCGGGGCCAATAGATGCATATTTGTTTAGCTTGATTGACGAGGATGAAAAAAGCTTTGATCCGGGAAATTTCGAACGCCACTGGGGGATTTTTTATTATGATGGACAGATTAAATACCCTCTCAACCTCGGTACCACAAACAGTGGAGCTCTAGTTCCTGCAAAAGATGTGCATTACTTGGAAAAGAAGTGGTGTGTGATGAAGCCTTCAGCCAGACTCGACGACCCGCAAGTGCAACAGAGTGTGAGCTATGCATGCGGGCTCGCCGACTGCACTAGCCTCGGTTACGGGACGTCATGTGGAAATCTAGATGCCAGGGGAAACATTTCTTATGCCTTTAACAGTTATTTTCAGAAGAACAACCAGCTTGACGTGGCCTGCAAGTTCCCAAATGTTTCGGAGATCACGAAAACCGACCCAACCCCGGCGGTGGGGAATTGCAAGTTTCCTATAATGATCCAGCCCTACTATGAATCCGCAGGTTTCCGATTACGGTGTTGCCAGAAGCCATTGAGTTTGGTTTCTGTTCTTGTTCTTATTTTGGTAACCATTCTATGAATTTGAAGGATTCTAATTGAGGTGACATTCTTCTACAAACCATCACATGGATAAACATGGTTGGAAGGTGTAGTTGAAGCTTGGATTTTGATTTCCATAAGGCAAACTATGAATTTGTCTTCTTTATGTTATGCGTATGTGTATGTGTATATGTATTTGTCATCTTTTTCTATTTCTTTTATGTACCAAAGAATTTTTTATTTTTATCTCCTGGTTTATACTTTATGTATTTCATTTTAGGTCAAATTTTGGTTCTTTTAAAGATGACAAATTTAGGGTCAAAAATTGTGGATCTAGCAATTTTCAAACCATTGAAGGTTAATTTTGACCATTGATTTTTTATTTTTGTCAATCAGACTACTTAACTAATTAATTGTTGTCAATCAAGCCACTGACTATTAACATTTAACGGAAAATGTGCGTGATAGTTAAAAAAATTTGTATAATTATATATTTGGTCATTGTTACTTATATATTCTATCAATTTAATCGTAATTTTAATAAATTTAACTCTCGAATGTGATACTACTACACATTGATAGAATATATAAGTAACATGAATCAAATGTATAATTATACCAAAATGTTTAACTACCATGTCACATTATCCATTAAATGTTACCGATCAATGTATTTGTTGAACTATGTTTTGTAATATTTTGATATAACAAATTAAGACAAAGTGTTTTTGGGTTTGATTGAATTTCTTCAAAGTTTTCAAAAGTTTCCAAAAATAATTCAAACTCCATTAAACTAAAATTTGAGCACAAAATGTTTTTCTGGGTACATAGTACATATATTGTTATTACAATATCGATACTGCATGAATAATACATATACTATTCACGTGGTACCGATACCAAAGGTAAGAGAAGTATCGATACTCTCTATCTAGGTAGTGATGTTTTCCAATTTGCTCAAATTCCATAATGCAAAATAGGTACTGATACTCAAAGGGGTACTGATACTACTTTACATTGTAGTATCGATACCATGAGCATAGTATCGATATTGGTCAAGCCCAATGGTCCTTAACGGCTAGTTTATTTAAAAATTATAAAGGTAGTACCGATACTCATTAAAGGAGTACTGATACTCCATGTCCTGGCATATTTATTTTGCATAAAAATTATCACCAACGGCTAGAAACGACCACAAACACATTCCAATATATAAAAACAAGATGAGGAAACTTGAAGAAGGGTTAGAACACCTATCCAAGTAATCAAACACAAGAGAAGAGCTTTTTATTCCTATTTTCCTTTCTCTTGTAAATTTTAGTGTTTTGAGCTTAATTGTATATCTTTAGGTCTTGTTTTGTGAGCTAAAATCTTTGTAAACACCTACCTTGTGAGGTTTTCTTGTTTACATTTTATACCTTAAGGGGATTAGTTCTAGCTAAGCCTGTGAAAAGCTGGAGAGAGTTAAAGTTATCTCTGTATCCTGCAAAAAGAAAGAACAAATTAGTGAATTTGTTAGAAAATCCTTAGTGAGGAGCTAAGGCAGTGGATGTAGACTTGGTTGACAAGTCGAACCACTATAAATTATTGTGCAAATTTTCTTATCCTTTTTACTCCTTACTCCCTAAACTCAAAAAGCCAATTCACCCTCTCTTGGCAAACTATTCGGTTGTTCAATTGAGATTTGCACAGCGATTTAGAGTGGTTCGACTTTCTCAATCAAAGTCTACGTCCACTACCTTAGCTATCCACACTAAGGATTTTCCAACAAATTCACTAATTTGTTCTTTCTTTTGAGGCCAAAGAGATAACCTTACAATACCCTCAAGAATATACCCCAATTCTTGAGAACACTTTTTTCCCAAAGAGAAGATTACAAATTTGCAAACTTACAAGGAAAACCTCACAAGGTAAGATGTTTGCACAATTCTAGAACAAGAAAAGAACACTCAAAGATAATTACAAATGAGCACAAATGGTGTTCTTGAAAGCAAAATGAATATTGAAAGGAAAATTGGCTTGATTTGCACAAACTTGGTGTTTGATGCTTTCTCTCTCTTGTTTCTCTATAATTTCTTATTGATCAAAGGCTTCAGAACTTGTTTAAATACACCTTGAATCACTTCTAAACGTTGGGGATGATTAATGAAGATAATATAGCCGTTTTAGTGTGAAAACAATTAATAAAACAGCTTGGAGCGTGGGGGGAATCGGTTCCCCCTCATAGGGAATCGGTTCCCTAAGTGTAAAATTCAAATATTTCGACCGTTGAATAGGGGGGGAATCGGTACCCCCTATGGGGGAATCGATTCCCTCCAAGCATTCTGGAAATCTCGGAGCCAAACCATTCAGGGGGGAATCGGTACCCCCTTGGGGGGGAATCGGTTCCCTCTGAGCAATCTGGAATTTTTGGCTTTGAAATGGTTCGAAATACTTTGAAAGATTATTTTGAAATTATTTTAAGATTAAAACTTAATTTTACACTAAAGTAAGGATTAAAAATGATTTTTGAAATATTTTGAGTAATGTTTTGATATTCGAATAATTATATCGAATATACTTAGAAAATCATTTTGGAAAATCTTAAAATTCATTTAACTTAATTTGTTATATCGAAATATCAAAATGTTTTCAACAATCTCCCCCTTTTTGATATAACAAAACATTTTAGTAATTTTAAGATTTTGAAAATCAAGTTTTGAAATTACTCCCCCTTACTTTAACACTTCTCCCATTTATCATTTTAAAAACACACATACTTCTCCCCCTTTTTGTTAAATCAAAAATATTCAAAGAAACGTGAAAATCATTTAGCCAATTGATTAGGTATATGTATGCATAAGCTGCTAAGATCACAATCAAGAGAAACGTTAGCCATTAGTTCCATAATCAATGTGAAATAGCAAAATTGGTCATAATTAATGTGAAATGGCAAAATTGGTCATAATGCAAATGATATGTAAATGATGCAAAAATAAACATTAAGCTCAAAATGAAAGTGAAAATCAAACCAAATATATAAGCATATAAGTTCAAATATCCATTTATCCAACAAATTCAAACACCCATAATAAAACAATCCATTAACATTAAAATGTTTCACAATTAAAAGTTATGAGTTCGGGACGATAAACCCATTGACCCAAAGACCGAGTTTGATAAACAAATAACTAAGGAGACAACCATAAACCAAGGTTTCTATATTCTTGGAAGGAACAATGTTTATAGAAACTCACTAAAAATGATCTGTGGCAGATAAATCTTCTTTTTATGTTGGATACAATATATCCACCATATATCTATGTTCCTAAGGGAGGAGTACCTATCTCCGGATGGTCTAAACCACCAAGAGATCAAATAATGAAGGAATCTATCATGATGAGTTCTTAGGGTACTCTCACTATCCTTAGACTTATAGGGTGAATCCACAGTCTCTTTTTCATTAAACCTGAGGTATATAGTCCAAAATGGGTAGCGATTGTGCCGGAGTCAATAAAAATGAATTATCCTAAAAGATATGATCAAATTCCTATAGTTTCAGATCGGAGCTCGTTTTGGACACATACCACATTGGAATAGAAAAATACGGACTAATTGATGATAAACCAAAGGTTTGAGTTTAAAGAGTTTATCAAACTTCTAGGATTTAAGAGTAGGAAGATATTGGAAGTCCATATCTTCTATAGCTTGGATCGAAGGGATACACTCTTCCCAAATTTTATATGACTCAAAACAAGTATGGTACATATGGTATAGATCTTCTCCATAACCAGGTACGTTGAAACAAGAGTTCATAATGGTCATATTTGGGTTATTTGGATTGGGTGGAGGAATAAGAGGTCGGTTTTGACTTGAGCGACTAGACAATGTCCTAGGTCGTTTAGGATTTGACATGGTTTAAGAATCAGAATAGAATATGTAACCTGCAAATTTAAAAAACACATGTATGTAATTCAATCAATCCCAAAACTCAATTGAGTCCTCAATATTTCAAGGTTCTCTAAATCAATCCTAATGGGCAAAGTTTTTGAAAACTTTTGAAAAATACGATTTTGAGAAACAATATAGTTTTCATAACAACAACATAATTCAAGCAAAACACAATTAATGCCCGATCTAAAGTTCATCCTAGAACTAATTAAAACTAGTTCTATGTTTATAAATTGATGAAATAGAAGTTTTGGAAAAATACCTTCAAGGATTTCGGATTTGAGTGAGATTAGATGAAGTTTGCACATTTTTGATGATTCCAACAGGTTTAGAAGATGATATTTGAAGTGAATTCCGATTAAGAATGTTGATTTGAGGCAAGAATCGAGATAGGGAGAGAGTTTAGAGGAAACGGCGGCAAGAAAGAGAAGGGTTTTGAACAAAAGTAAGGGTTCTGCCCATGTATAACCAGAACCCCATGGGGGTATCGATTCCCCTGTGGGGGGAATCGGTTCCCCTTCAAAGGGGGGAATCGGTTCCCTCAAGGGGGGATCGATTCCCTCTGCACCAAAATGCTAAAATCCGATTTTAAACACTCAAAATGCTAAATTAATTTCCTCTAGTGGTATTGGCAACTCATTTATTGAAAATTAATCATGTTCAAATAATTAAACTAATCTTTAAACGATATTTGAACATAAAATTAATATTTCATTAAGAATCATAAACTCCCCCTAACTAATAGCAATGAATGCAATCAAAAATTACTATTATAAGCATTTTTCATTTATTATTAAAAGTGCTAAAATTATTTTAAACACTAAGTGAAGATAGGTTGGTCAAACCTAATTCTCTCCTAAGTGTCCAAAATTTTTCCTTGTCTAAGGGTTTTGTAAAGATATCCTCTAATTGATGCAAAGTATCAACAAATTCTAGAACTACATCTTCCTTAGTGATATGATCTCTAATGAAGTGATGTCTAATTTCAATGTGTTTAGTTCTAGAGTGTTGGATGGGATTTTTAGTGAGACAAATAGCACTAGTATTGTCACACTTGATAGGAATAATACCTACTTCAATTCCATAATCTAAAAGTTGTTGTTTCATCCATAAAACTTGTGCACAACAACTACCGACTGAAATGTATTCCGCTTCAGTTGTAGATAATGCAACACAATTTTGCTTCTTTGAAA